CACACACACACACACACACACACACACACACACACACACACACACACACACACACATATACATACACACACACACACACACATACACACACACACACTCCCACACAGATAATCTACTGTATCTACGGTCAGTTTATTTTTTGTTTTTGGTTAAATCAAGCATAATGCAAACACTGTGTTCCAGGTTGGATTTAACCCTCTGAGGGTTTTGCGGAAGAGGAACAAGGCCCTCAGAAAACTTCAAAAACTGCTGCAGAAAAGAGATCAGAATATTACAGAGGTGGGACTTKAACWAAAACTAGTAGCAAATATGTAAAGCTTGACTTCTTGTATCTTTAAGTAGTTTAACTACTTCTCCCTGACAGAAAGGAATAATGAAATTGTTCTGCCAAACAAATGATGACTCTACAGTGAACATGGCAGAGATGGACCTGTCAAAAGATTTCAAGGACCTCCCGCTCCACATAAACTGGAATGCTGAGTTTCCTTCTGAGATCAGTGTTCCCAGAGTGGATCTCCACAGTCTGATCCTGGACTTCTCTGCTGTCTCCTTCCTGGACATTTCCAGCTTGAAAGGACTCAAAATAGTAAAAACAATCTTTAATGTTTTTATACCTCTTTTCTTTTCAAAACAGCAAACAGAGACACTGAAAATTTAATTCCGGGAATTGCCTTTGTCTATAACTGGTACTACAAATGTTACATTTAATTTTTCAAGTTGGCTAAACTACCAGCTTTTAAATGCCCACTTGGCTCTTACTTTGGGGGGAAAACCTTTTCCTGGAGAAAACCAGTTGAATCTCTTCCAAAAAGGCTTTATTCTCGTCCCTCCCTCCAATCAGCCCAGTGGCACACGCAGTAAGGATTCAGAGTAAGAAGGCCTTGGCGCCTTATCGGGAAACCAAAATAAAAGAGCCTAGTCTGTTCCAGGCTGAATCTAAAAGAGAGACCCCACAAAACTTCTAAACTTCTACTCATATAATAACGAATCAGCCTTATAACATGTCTCTTCCTGGTTACACCCTTGGAGGTGTTACGTCAGACGTTAACGTAACCAACTTTTGTTTATGCAGACAGAACACATCGATAAGACACACCAACTCTCATACTCTGTTTAAAACCTCATGGCTGCAATGATCAGATTGTGCTAAATACGAAACTGGATCTAACATCTAGTCAGTCAGTTACAAAATTTCCTTCACTCTCATCCAAAACATATCCAGAGTGTTGCTTTGTGCAGAAGAGCACTGCATTCAACAAAGATTATATAAATGGCTAGACCCCTGGTTTTGTAATTATGAGAAAAGAAGTGAAAAGGAGTACTCCTTGAGAGTCTTGGATTTTGAGCATGTTTTGAGATGTAACAATAGGAACTATAGTTTTGAGTTTATGTTTCACCCAAACTGTGCTGTACCTTTTATGTTCTCATTCCTAATATTCTCCATCCTTGTCTCTCCCAAGGAGAACCTCAGCATCTTCATCTCTGAGACTTCCTGTTCTCTCTCCCATCTTTTTGTCTATGTCTCTGTCTCCAGACCATACAATATACAGTAGCTGGTCTCACTGACTCTCTTGTAAACTTTTCCTTTAATCTTTGCTGACACCCGTTTATGACAAATCACTCCTGAAACTTTGCTCTGTCCTGCCTGGATTATTTTCTTCACCATTTTACTACACTTCCTGTTTTCCTGGACAGTGGCTGAAGTCCTGCACCTTTATGACATCTTCTCCTTGTTATCATCACTGTTCCACCTGTCTCCCTCTCATTCACACACCTGTACTCTGTCTTACCATGACTGACTTTCATTCCTCTTTGTTCAAGTTACCTCCAAGTTCTCTTCCACCTATTCCCTGTTCACAATGATCACAATGTCTTCTGCAAACGTCATAGTCCATGAGGATTCCTGCATGACCTCATCTGCTTCCTCATACAACACCACAGCTCCTCTCTCATCTTCTCAAAATACCCCTTCCGTCCTTCTTTCACACTATTCTTACTTGTCAGGACTTCAACATTCCTTTATTTAACAAGTCTAACCTGCTGGACATCTTTGCCAGCCTGATTCCTAATACCACTTCTCACTCAGGACCAACCCTACTTCATTTCTCTTTCTATCCACACCATGGTAAAACACTTAAACCTTGCTCCAATGCTGAGAGCCTTGTTGTCCTTACTTGGTCTATTAGACACAGAAAACACCGACCTTCCTTCTCTGCRTCATGTCAGCCAGCTCTCTACATTTGCCTGTTGTTCCTGCAGTTGCAACACCCTAGACTTTCTACTTCTTCTTACTTTGTCTCCTGGCGTGATTTCCTCTTTGTGGAATTTGACTAAAAATAGAGATTAGATAAACGGCTCTTTGAAGGGATCCGGATCTTGAGGAGTTGTGTCATAGAGCCATCCAAAGAATTGTTCAATTTTCAATGAATTACGTACATCACTTTACTCGGATGGAAACGTGTTTTCTCCCTTTCCCCATGAGSTTCTATACTCCACCACTCTGCCTGTTTTTCATTTAAAAATGCAAAAGTGGGAGCAATTTAAGGATGAACAAATAAAGTTAATAAGAGGAGTAAAGAATAAGACCACAAATGGGTCTTTACCACCCGCGATTCAGCTCCTATCGTTTGTTGTAAAGAACCGTTCCAACAATTTGGATCGTTTGTGAATGTCACATCTCTAACAGTAGCATAATTTCTGATGGCACCCTATTTATCAACAGCAGCGGCGACATCTGTTGTTGACCTGGGCCTTGACTGGGTTGGTGTCGCTTGGTGACAAACTCGCATATTTGTTTTGGCAAAAGTGTTTAAAGCTTCCTGACACAACCCTCACCATTTATCTGGGCTTGGGACATGTATAAGAGACACATTGGATTATGCTCCATAGTGGCTGGTTTATAACTATAATCTAGTATTAGTCACCATTTCAATATGACACATTTTGTATGGAAATATTTCTGTATACTCTATATACTATCTAAGACTTTTTAATTACTTCACAATGATGTCTTGTAGTTTAAATACTGGACAAGTTTGTTTTTTAAGCTTAGTAGTTGATTTTACCTCTAACAAGGCAATTTAAACATTCAGCCAGCATATTTTTCTCCACAGGCATTCAAAGAGTTTATCCAAATTGGAGTAGACGTTTACATCGTTTCGTGTGATGGTGAGTTAATGTTTTTTCTGTGTAGAAAAATTGCAAATTTTGTCAGTGTGATGCTGAAGTATGAATGGATTTTCCGTTCCAGCCTTAATCGTGGAGAAACTACACAACTGCATGTTCTTTGATGATAAGATCCTGACCTCCATGTTCTTCCCAACCCTGCATGATGCCATGCTGCAAGCACTTGACAAACACAGAGAGCAAAGCAGAGACTGTGTGGTAAGGAACGTGTTGGCTGCATATTATAGACTCATGAGTGCCAACAAGGCAAGGGATGGGTGCAATAGACACCTCCCCCAAATTATTATTTTTTGTTTGTTTTTGGTTATTTAGGATTATTAAAACCAAACATTATTTTGGCAAAATTAGGAATTAAAAACATAAAATGTTTTTTATTTAAATATTAAAAATAAAACTTAAAATCTAGTGCCCCTGAATGTTTAAGATGCAGGGTCTCTTGAGGTTATATACATAATTTTTAACATACATTTAGAAGAAGACAAGCTTATAAATTGAGTAATGACAGTGCTTATTCAATAAGTAATCCATCCATCCATTCTCTGTACACGCTAATTCCTTTCAGGGTCGCGTGGGTCACTGGTGCCCATTTCTAGCAGTCACAGTGCGAGGGGCGGGATACGATGGACAGGTCGCAAGTCCATCACAGGGCCACACATAGAGTGGGGTTGGGCATAATCGTATCATGTGCAATTAATCGTCAGAAAAACATTAATCGATTACTTTTTGGGAATTGACAATTAATATAATTAATGGTACCAGGCAGAGTCTGCTCGCTGCTCCTCTCCACTTCAAATATGATGAACATTTTAAAAAAAAGTTCTGTAATTTATTTATCCATCAACAGAATTTAAAATTTGATTTATAGCCTGAAGTCTGTAATTTTAACACAATTTGGAACAGGTTTTTACGAAGAGAAAATCTTTCCCACTAAACTGGTCATGTGACTAGGACATAAGGGTGTTAGGGGACTCCAGGGGATTAATTGTCAAATTAATCGTTATCGGCTAAATACCACAGTTAATCGTGATTATTTTTTTTCCCAATATTGCCYAACCCTAACATAGAGAAACATTCACTCTCTCACTCACAACCTAGGGAGCATTTAGAGTTATCAATTAACCTAACAGTCATGMTTTTGGTCAGTGGGAGGAAGCTGGAGTACCCAGAGAGAACCCACACAGGCATGGAGAGAACATGCAAACTCTACCCAGAAAGGTCCCTGAACCGGGGGTTGAAGCTTCTCGCTGAGAGGCATCAGCTCTACCAACTGAACCACCGTGCCGCCTCTCTGACTACTTGCACAACTGGCCTTAATATGTTATTTCWCYATTCTACTAAAAGTTGACACATGAAAATTCCTAATTACCTTCACCGAAGCATGTCTCCATTTTTTTACTGATGTAATGCATTCTAGGGWATGAAATGGTTGCAGTTGGTTGGTTATATTTTGTATTTATTTGTGTTTTATGCACAATATATGGGTTGAAACATTCTCATGTTTAGTAAATTAGCTCTGGAGCTAAAACCATATTTACAGGATGAGTTAAGTCTCAAGACACCTTTTTATTTTAGAAACCAAAGGGAAAATGTCGTATCTGAACTTCAGCAAGTAATGAGTGTACTGAACAAATTTAATGAAGCTTTAGTTACACTATAGTCTGTAGAACAAACCATTACAAAACCTCAAAGCCACTGCCACACTAAATGTGATTTCACTAACTGTAAAAATGACAGAATATAAATTAGCTGTGGTGGCCATCTTGAATTGAGTTGACTCCAAACTTTTGTAGATGTACACCTGCTGATTTTTGTCAGGTTGTATTCAAATCCATCCATGGGTAAAATATTTTGTGAACAGATGTTGACACCACCTCATACCACACTAGACAAAAAATGTCATGCTGCTAAAAAGCTCAATGTGTAATTTCAGATTATGTCAAACTGAGTTATAGTTTGTTTCCCCAAGTTCAGTTGGCTGTGGCACCCATCTTGGATTGTCTCCAAACTTTTGTCTATTTTAGTTATACATTCATTAAGTTTCATTACAATCTGTTCATGAGATATTTTGCTAATAGATAAGTAGGGTTAGTAAATGTAACACCAAACTGTATCTCAGTGTCTGTAGTTATCTGGGTTTTAGCCATTTGCAAAAGCTGATTACCAGTGGCAGCCATCTTAAATGGGGATGACTCTGAAAGGTTTATGTCGATGTAGTGGGTACTTTATGCAAGTTTCTTGAGATATTTTGGTAACAGAGATGTGGTCTCACATTTCTGCAGTGGGTGACAGTAAAAGTATTATGATTTTGAACAAATGACCACAAACATAAAATAATTATCAGTGAAACCTGTAGGGTCACAAATGCTGTTTGAATTATCTTCACTACAGTCATCTATGAACATTTTAAATTAACTTGGATGTTGCTCTACTAAAACCTTTTTGTCTAATTTTGCAGTTAAAAAACACCAAACTGTAGAAGAATGACTGCATCCAGAAGCATCAAGTATTGTTCTACAAGATCTACATAAATCAATGAGTGCACGCACCATTTCAATCTGTTCAAATAACTCACTAATATTCTGTTTCTTGAGATTAGATTTCTAATAAAATGTGGTCACAGCCTTTGTTGTAGTTTCTTTTTTTAACACCTACAGCAAAAAATCAGGAGTACTCAAGTTTCATATTGAAGTTTTGAAATGTTGCCAAGTTAAAATGTCAACTGCATGAGATATTTGTCTTCCACTTTACATTAATGCACTGTTTATGTTGGTCTATATAAATCCCATTCAGGGTTCAGAGTGTAGGAAAACTTTTTCCTTTTACTTAACACAAACACCTTTTTTTTCCCCATATACTTTATTACAAACTGAATGATTCACAAATGAAGCCATAAATGAACACAAACCCCCTCAAAGTGTTCTGTTAGCTGGTATGTTCCTGCATCAAAAACCACATCAAAGAAAAAAAAAATATGGCAATGTGTTTTTAGAACTGGTAACATCATTTAATGAAGGTGTGTGAAACATCAGCAGACATACAGATATTCAAAGGTTATTTTAAAAGAAAGGGACATTCTTGCATTTATCAGAGTTGATGTTCAGCTGAACACAGCTAGCTAAAATGTGCACCACGTATACGTTTAATTCAGGGCAGTTTGTTTATAAAAATCAAAGTCCTACATCCTGGAACCCTGAGGTTTACTATCACATAATTCAGTTAAGTTTTATGAAAATGAAATGACACTGAATGTTTGCCCACTTTGCAGTTTACTGATAGTAAGGTCGATAATGACCCTGATCTGGGTGGTGTGGCCCGGGCATCTGGCCCTGGGGAGGCGGACCCTGCATCCGTGGAGGCGGTGGCCCTCTCGGAGCGGGCCACATCCCAGGACTCAGCCCTCCGGGTTGGCTAAAAGGGGGACTAAGAGTGCCCTGGTCTTCGGGGAACTGCTGCATGGAGCTGGGGTTATAGTGATGTGGTGGTGGGGCATTAACAGGGGGTCCGCTGTGCTGTGGTGGAGGTCCTGGAGGTGGGTGGTTAATATAAGGGGGTATTTGACCTATGATGTGCCCCGGTGGTGGAGTGATAGGTGGGGGGGCTGAGGTCATCGGGGGAGGAGGGGCCTGGCTGTACACCATGTGAGGGGTCCTGGAGGCCTGAGAAGGATGCTGCATTGGGTGACTGATGGGAGGGGGTGGAGGAGGAGGGGGGCCGAAGTTATGCTGCGGTGGCCCCATCATGTGGTGAGAATGTGACACTACAGGAGGCTGGCCAGGATAGTCTCCAGGGTGGTGGTGAGGGGGCTGACCGGGACCACCAGAGAGGGGGTCCCTTGTGGAGGAGTCATCCTGGATGGGCACGGTGATGAGATTGCTGTGTTTACGAGTCGTTACCGTGGAGATACGGAATGTCTCGGGCCCTAGAGGCGAAGGAGGGGGTGGGCCGTCGTGAGGGGTGGGCGGGGGCGGCTGACCGTAGGGGTCGTGGCTGCCGTGCTGGAGTGGGTTGGGGTGGTGGATGTGGTTTTTGGGTATGTGAGGCGGAGGCACACGAAACCGCTCCGAGACCTCGGACACAGGCGGCAGGTGCAAAGGGTCCGGGCGGCCCATGGAGGACTTGGACGCCCTCAGGTGGCGGTGGTTCACATGGGCCTGGAGGTCACGCTGGGACAGATAGGTGCGCTTGCATCCTGGCACAACACTGCACATGTAGAGGGAACCTCGCTGACACTGCTCAATGCGCTGAACCGGATCCGTGCAGCTGTACAGAGAGAGACTGAACACAGACGCTGAAGCTGAGTGACATCGAGAAATGATTTTACAAAACACACAACTATAGGATTTATTTAGCAAATGTCACTAAATCCTTTTAAAATTAAATAGAGTAAGGGCATTGTATTCTGAAAATTTTGTTTAAAAAAGTGAAAACTGTCTTATGTTTGAATCAGTACATTTCATACTTTTACTAATTCTGAGACACATTTTTGTATCAAAACATGTTAAATTACTGTAATTTAACATGTTTGGACAATGGTGTGGTATTTTTTTAAATCAGTCCACCTATATAAATTACTGAACTTTTTACTTCAAATCAAATCAACTTTATTTAAAGTGCTTTAAAACAGCGGCCGCTGACAAAGTGCTGTACATGAGGGGCCGAAAACAAATCAACACAAAACAAAACATTAAAAACAAGCAAAAAACAGCTAAAATAGACCAAGGTCTCAAACTGTGTTAAAAGCCAGTGAATAAAAATGTTTTAAGATGAGTTCTGGCAATGAGGAGGCCAGCCAGACATGTAGAGGTAGTTCATTCCAGAGCTTCGAAGCAGCAACTGAAAATGCTCGATCTCCTCTGAGGTTTCGTTTTGTCCTGGGCATTTTAAGGTGCAACTGATGGGCTGACCGGAGATACAGTGGGGAGAACAAGTATTTGAAACACTGTTGATTTTTCAGGTTTTCCCACTTGCAAAGCTTGTAGATGACTGTAATTTTTATCATAGGTACTCTTCAACTGTGAGTGATGGAATCTAAAACAAAAATCCAGAAAAA